ATTTCTCATGATTTACTGGGCATATAAGTTAAATAAGCAGGGTGACAATACATAGCCTTGACGTACTCCTTTTCCTATTTGGAACCTGTCTGTTGTTCCATGTTCAGTTCTAACTGTTGCTTACTAACCTGCATATAGGTTTCTCAAGAGGCAGGTCAGGTGGTTTGGTTTTCCCATCTCTTTCAGAATTTTCCACAGTTTATTGGGATCCACACAGTCAAAATAAGTAGTTTGCAAATATTTTCTCCCATTCCATAGGTTCCCTCATTTTATGATTATTTCTTTGCTATGCAGAAGATTTTTAGTTTCATGTATCCCCATTTGCTTATTTTTGCTTTTGTTGCTTATGCTTTTCCTGTCATAACCAACAAATCAATGTCAAGACTGATGTCAAGGAATTTTTTTCCCTATGTTTTCTTCTGGGAGTGTTACAGTTTCAGGTTTTATGTTAAAGTCCTTAATCCATCTTGAGTCAATTTTCATGGTTGGTGTAAGATAGCCAGTTCAGTTTCATTCTTTACATGTGAATATCCAGTTTCCCAACATCTTTCACTGAAAAGACTGTTCTTTTATCACTGAGCACTCTTGGCTCCCTTGTCAAATATTAATTGATAAGGTATGTGTGGTTTCTTTCTGGGCTTTCAATTCTATAACATTGGTCTATGTATCTGTTTTAATACCAGGACCCTACTGTTCTGATTACCATAGCTTTGTAAAATAGTTTGATATCAGGAAATAAAGGCTCTACTTTTGTTATTCTTTCTCAAGATTACCTTAGCTATATCTGGTCTTTAGTGGTTCCACACAAACTTTAGAGCAGTTTTTCTTCTATGTTCATGAAAAGGAAAAAAAATACATGCCATTGGAATTCTGATAGACATTCCATTAAATCTATAGATGAGTTTGGATAGTATGGACATTGTAATAGAATTAGTTTTTCCAATTCATGAAAAGAAGATATCTTTCCATTATTTTTCTCCTTCAATTTCTTTTATTAACATTACACTTTTTAGTAAATAGATCATTTATTTTCTTGGTTAAACTAACCAATCCAGAGTCATATCCACTCTCTCTGGCCCTCACACCACAGCAGAAAATATTCCTCTGCTTAATCATCTCAAGGCGAGGAAACTAGGTACAGCCCCTATAACCCAAAACCCTCTGCAATTATTCAAAGTAGCCATTCCTAACCTGTTCACCTTGCTTTGCCTTGCCTTTCTCACAGAGACCCTAACAAAGGCAGAGAGCTTTTTCCTTGCATTATTAGTCCTTTCTTGGTGTCATGTGTGTCTGATTCATTGTGATCCGTGAAGTCTTGAAAATGTGCCTGTGCATTTGAAGAAACAAACACATCTTTCAGTCTTTATTTCTGGGTTTTGGCAGGTAAAGTCTTTCCCCTGTGGGGACCCTGAGCTAATGGAATTACCTCCAGAATCACAGTTATGCTGGATTGGAAGCAGTTTAAGGCTGTCTTTGGGTCTGCAGTAGGGTCTCTGGATGGGGATGGTCATTCCTGTCTGGTCATTGGATGAATAAGACCGCTTCCTGTGTCTTGTTCAGTAAGATAGTACTAGAATAAGGACCTGCTTCAGGGTCCATAGTTGGACCCTTAGTCAGTGGCCTGATACCAGACACAAGGACAGAAAGGAATATCTCCCACTGGGTGTTTAGACCTGTAGGACTGCTGTCAGACTATGGCTGTGAAGAAATTGGATCCAAATATAGAAGCCTTTTAGTATCTCTGGGGGTGCGGATGGGAGTGTCTTCTGTCCAGTATTTGGGCCAGCAGGGCTGTTTGTAGACTGCTACTAGGATGAGCTGGAGTCCAGTTACAACTTTGAAATCTACACCCTGACTGAGGTTTGCTGGGCTTACTCCCAGGGTTCCCAGACTGTGGACAAGGGGTTGGAGCTGGTTCACAGGCTATAGCCAGGACTGAGGTCTATACACCTGTTACCTGACCCATAGATGGGCATGATTCCAGCCAAGTCCCTTGGTGTATGGTGCTGGTGACAGGAGACAAACAGCCATATTCCAGTCCTCAGGGTCATGGAGCTCCTCCCAGGACATCAGTGGCTCAGCCACCTACGTGCAAGTGTGCAATCTAAACAGGGCTCTTCTCCATACTGGACAGCACTGGAGTTTCGCAGACTCCTACCTGGATCTCCAGTCTCCCACAGAAGCACTCTTGTCCCTCTTGTCCATGGTTGGATGACAGATTATTGCTGTTCAGAAGGCATATGAAAGGGAGATGTCTTCTTTAGTCATCTGCTGATATCACTCCTTCCTTCCTTTTTGTAATCTTTGAACAATATTTTTGTACCACATGATCTAAAGAATTTTATAATTTTACACATTAAAATCTTATACATCTTTTGTTAAATTATCCCCAAATCCTTAATAATCTCTGATACACATATAAATAGAATAGTCTTTTAAATTAAATATTGTAGTTGTTTACTGCTATTGTATGGACATGCAATTGATCTTCTGTGTTAATCCAGACGCCTTCATAAATCCTTCTTTAGATTGTTTTTGTAAATTATCATATAAATGACAGTTTAGTCCTACATTTGATCCCATATACATTAGATTTATGTTTATCATTGTATTGCATTTGTTAGATTTCTAATAGCATGTTGAACTGCATTTAGGGATAATGGGCACTGTGTATTTTTTGCAATTTTAAAGAAAATGCTCCTAATATTTTCTCAATGAAACTGTGTGTTCATTCAGTTTGTAGCTATAATTTAGCAGCTTAATAAAATTAAGTTAATTTTCTAATTTTACTGCTTTTAAAATCATAAGATACTGTTACAACTTATCAAATATTCCTTCTACACTTTTTGTGACAATTCTTTTTAAAATATTTCAATCTGTTAATATGTCAAATATTTTTTGAGTTTTAGTGTTGCATTAAATCACCACAATATTTAAGGTAATTATCCTCCAATTAAATTAATTAATTAAGATTAAATAATATGTCAAATTTAATTCTGCATTGTCTGACATTGAACCATCAATGCCTACTTGCTGTATTTACAACTTAGCCATAATGATCACCTTTTATCATATTCAATATGTTAAAAATCCAATTTGATAATGCATATTAGGACAACATAGTTTCCTTAAATTGTGGAATATTTACAAGTTTAATAGCTAACTAAATGTGCCCCAGAAATTCCACCATAAAGGTTTTACAGTTTAAATCCTCTGAACTTAAGACAATAAAACTAGAAATCAACAATAAAAATATATTGCCTAAATAAATCTACTATGCTGAAAGAACAAACCTCATCTACATAACCCTTTAATAAAAAGAATATTAAAATAAAAAATTATTTATATTGAATATATAATAATGAAAGCAAAGGAAAATTATATTGAAAACTATATGAAAGTCTTAAACACTTTCCATTAAAGCAAAAACAGAAAATAAATCAATCAAGCCTTCAACTAATGAATTCAGAAACAAAAGATTAACAAAACCAGAAAAACCTTAGGTATATTAAAATAATCATGGAGGTATGCAAATGTTCATGCAGATATTGATTAAAGAACATAATGTGTGTATTTATCAATTAATTTAAATAGCACAATATTTATGAGTTGCAGTTTGGAATACATCTAAACAAAAAAAACTAGAACAGGAAACCTATGTAACACCTATGTCACATCATAAACTACTTTGAAAATAATTATATGGAACTCAAAATTCTAATGGTATAAAGTCAAATTCATGGCAGATTTAATTAAGGAACTAAAATGGAATAAAATCCTAAGAATTAAAAATAAAAATGTATAATTACAGACATTAAAAGAATTACATTACTATAAGACACTATTTTATGTCACTCCATGCCAATGTTTTTTTTTCAAATCTAGAGGAAAATAAGAATTTTCAATCAGTATATAGATTACAAACATTACAAGAAAGAAAGCAATGCGATCAATAAGTATGTGTTTAGTCCCTAAGTCATGTCCGACTCTTTTGTGACCCCATTGAATGTAGCCCACCAGGCTGCACTGTCCATGGGATTTCCCAGGCAAGAACACTGAAGTGGGTTGCCATTTTCTTCTCCAGGGGAATCTTCCCAACCCAGGGATCGAACCCTCACCTCCTGTATTAGCAGGCAGATTCTTTACCATTGAGCCACCACGGAAGCCCTCAATAAACACAAGTAATACTAAAAATATTACCAAACATTTATTATTAAGACTCCCCATTACAAATAGGTTTACAGAAACCATACCACATTTATTTATTTGTTCCTTGATGAAATCATTGGTGTTTGGACTATTAAGGATATTATAGGTGTAATACTTTGTACCACTCCTCCATATAATTGTTTGAGCAAGGCCAATGATTTATATTACTGTGGCACTTTCAACTCTCATTTGCAAAGATTGGATACTGGCAAACTCAATTATGATTTGGAGAAAACAAATTCCATAGAAATTTTAATAGTGTCTCTTTTCCCCCCAGATATATAGATGGATATATAGATATTCATATAATCATATATATTTTCAGATATTATATTAATATATTTAGTGTGCATACTTATTTAGCAGTACTGTATTCATGAGTTGTAATTTTGAATATACCTAAGCAAAACGTCAGAGACGACTGAGTGACTGAACTGAACTGAAGCAAAACAAACAGAAACAAACCTCTGTAACAAACAGATATCATACCATAAAATAACTAAGAAGAAATAGAAAATATCTATATTGATTTTCATTCATTTTTCAAAAAATCTATTGATGCTAAAAAATAAATTCAAATCTTCAAAAATGTAGATGAATTAGTTAGAATTATTCCATAACAAATTATTACATATATTGATTTTAGTCTAGCCTACAGTTTTACAGATGGCCAGAGGTCAATGAAAAGATTTTTTTCTCAACAATATCCTTTTCACAGTATTTTTTACCTCCCTATTCCTTAGACTATAAATCAGAGGATTCAACATAGGGATGATAAGAGTGTAGAATACAGCTATAATCTTGTTTTTCTCTGGTGAAGAGATGGCTCCAGGCTGGGCATACATGAAAAATACAGTTCCATAGAACAAACTCACCACAGTGATATGAGAGCTACAAGTGGAGAAGGTCTTACTCCTGCCATGAGTTGAGGGGATCTTTAGAACAGTGGAGAGGATACATGCGTAAGAAACCAGAATGACAGTTGTGGTAGTGATGATGATGAGGGCAGACAGAATAAACAGTACAATCTCATTCACCAAGGTGTCCACACAGGATATCTTGATCAGGGCTGGGATATCACAGAAAAAGTGGTCCAATCTGTTTTCTCCACAGAAACGCAAACTGAAGGTGAAACCTGTTTGGATCATGGAGTTGATGCAGCCACAGATGTAGGAGGCAGTCACCAAACGAACACAAGCTTGCTGGGACATCCGGACAGCGTAGAGGAAGGGCGAGCAAATGGCTGAGAAGCGATCATATGCCATCACAGCTAGAAGAAAGCCTTCAGTCCCAACAAAGAGAGCAAAGAAAAAGAACTGGGTTGCACAGCCATTGTAAGAAATTCTCTTGTCTTTGGATAAGAAAGTGGCCAGAGTTTTGGGAGCAATGACAGAGGAGTAGCAGAGATCTAAATAAGACAGATTTCTGAGAAAGAAATACATAGGGGTATGAAGTCTGGAGTTGATTTTAATGACAACTAACATGCTGATATTTCCCACCACAATGACCATGTAGATAAGCAAGAAGAGTGAAAATAAGAGAATCTGTACATCTGGAGATGTTCGGAATCCCAGCAGAATAAACTCCATCACATCTGAGTAATTCTTATTCAGTTCATTCTTCATAGCTAAGACCTATATGAGAAAATCAGTGGATGATCACGAATCCTATGGAATGCCTTATCAACTTTCCATTCTTTTTTTAAAATTGAAATATAGTTCATGTACAATATTAAATGTTACAGGTATATAATATAGTGATTAACAATTTTGAAGTTGCACTCAATTTATAGTTGTTATAAAATATTGGCTATATTCCTTGTGTTGTACAATATATCCTTGTAGCTTATTTTATATATAACAGTTTGTACCTTTTACTCCCCATCCCTATATTTCTCCTTCCCCCAACCTCACCCCAATGGCAACCACTGGATTGTTCTGTATATCTGTGAGCCTGCTTCTTTTTTGTTATAGCCACCAGTTTGTTGTATTCTTTAGATTCCACAGATAAGTGATATCATACAGTATTTGCCTTTCTCTGTTTGACTTATTTCATTTAGGATAATACCGTCCAGTTTCATCCAAATGGCTGCAAATGAGAGAAAAACACACTATAGGAATATGAAGTTCTCTTGGCAACATATCTAACAGAATAACTTTACTTTTGGAAGGACCAGTAGCCAAATATATATAATTTTTTCTAATATATTCAGTGTCAATGATATGAGAAATGTAGATGGACAAAAGATGTCTGGGACAGTGATGCTATGAGTCATTTTATGCCGTTTGTTCAGAACTTTGGAATTAGATGGACTAAGTCCAAATTTCACCTCTTTCAATCTGAAATAATCTAAAATCGCTACCTACATTTTCAATGTCTGAAGTCGTCTTCTGTGAAATGGGAGGTAATAATAATACCGACTTTATAGGATTATTGTGATAAAAATGTGAAACTGAGTATGAAAAGCAGTATTTGCAGTTACTGGAACATCTTAAATTCAGAATAAATGTTAGTCAAATTAACAAGCAAATAGCCATGTTAAAAATTACTTTTGTTTTAGGAATGAATATCAGATGAAAAATTAGGTCAATTCTTTTTCCTATCACAAAATGCAGTTAGTTGGACTGTCTTAAAACATCCTGGTATATAAAAGACATTAGGAAACATGGATTACAGTTTCATGGGATGGAATGAAGCACCAGTCTCACAGCCATCTGAAATGATGAATGAACTCTTACCTCCTACACTAGCTACACACCCTTCAACCTCTACTCCTTTACAACTTAACTCTGACTGCTAGTAGGTCTGCTTCCTTTCTGCAGCCAGACTCCAGCACATCTTTTTCCTTTAATGTAAAGCATTAACATCTCAGTATATGAATTATTGTTTATACAGAAGCAAACTTTATGATACAAGAAGTACAAGATTAACTTTCCTAAGAAGTATTTTTTCCTTGTCTATATTATTAATCAAACAGAAGACATTAATGGAAATACATAGAGCAAAGAAAATCTGTGTTGCACACATTTTGCTTTTTAAAATAACTATCAATGCTTAATATCAAACACTAAAGATGTATGTGGATAAAACATCAATAATTTTAATATATCTGAAAACTTAAATCCAAGTGGAAAAGATGAAATTTTATGTTATAAATTTGTGTCCATTTCTCTCTTTAATTTCTGAAATATCAAAAAAAAAACTTCCCATAAATAAAATAAATGTCATATTTGAAGTCATTTTAATTTGGACATTTAAAAAAATAAAAATTATAATAGTGAAAAAGTGAAACCAATTTTGCTTCTGTTACTATTTTTTTATGAAGTAAAAAATGTTTTATTAGCTAAAAGTGTGGCATTTAATGCACATAAACCTAAGTTTTAATCCAGGTCCTGACACTCACTGGATAACTAATCTTGGGCAAATTGTTCATATTCTATGAACCTCTGTCTCCTCATCAGCAAAATATATCTTAGAACATCTATCCCATAGGGTGGTATTGAAAGGATTAAATTAAGTGATGTATATAAATTAAAGAAAATATGTAGGACCTGGGAAATAGAAAGTGTTCATTAAGAGTGGATATATGAGAGATTGAACATTTTTTTTTTCTAAATTAAGAAATCTATCTTTAAAAAAGTTGTGATTTTTAAAAAATCAGGTACCTTACTTGAGATTCAGCAGATACCAAAAGAAGCTCATTGAAGAATTTTAATAGCTCCTTTTTCCATTAAAAGAAGCTTTGAAGAAAGTGCAGTTAATTGCAAACATGTTTAACAGTATACATTTGATCTATTCAAGTGAGGGCACCCAGTAAACAGACTTATTTATTTCTAAGTCTCATATACCTTAGTTTTACTTGCTAGAACCAAAAGAGGATCAGACTGACTCTTCAGTTTGACATCAAGAAATATCCTACTCTTTATATTATGCAAAGACTGAACCAAAAATTGCTCCTACATAAGTTCTAAATCCTTTGATCTAACCATGTAGTTATTCTTGTAAAAACGAAAGTAAATTAGATATAGATATATAGATATGTGGTCTTTCTGAAAAGTAAAAAGGACCCAGAGGTCAATTAGGTCAATGTTTGCTAAGTTTCCCATATGTTAGAATCAGCTGGGGAGGTTTTATTTTGCTTCACTTTTAATACTGATTCCTGGATCACACCTCCTTCTTAATTAGTCTCAATATTGAAAATTGTCTAGTGAGATGAGTGTGGAGAACATTCATTTATATTTTATAATTCTCAACTGATTGCAGTGAAGCCAGTCCGTACTTAGAAGTTCGAGGACAAGTGAATTTGGTCTCCTTATTGCTTCCTGGCAGAATAGCAACATTCTCAATCAAAGTCAATCAAAGTTATCATTAATCATACATATTCTTCTGGAAGGATAGTTCCACCCTTCATTGCATTGATTTACAAATATCCCTTCCAGGAATTTCTGTCTTTGTTCAACACAAATACATAATAAATATAATCCATTTCTTATTTTCTGATGCCAGTGGATACCAAAGCTAGATCTCTAAATGCTGCATATATAAATCATGCTCTCCCCCCCTACCTCAATTCTCAGGCATTCTTTTAGCTTCTTTACAATTATACCTACTTAAAATCACTGTGTTTCTACTACTTAGGTGGATTGGAAAAAAAGTTTAATTTGTTTTGCAAAATAAAAGAGTTGACTTCTGATTCTGGCAAAGAAAAAGTAAAAGAAACAGATCTCTGCCTGAATCAGTAACAACAGTCTCTTTCTTTCAGTCTCCCTCTGGATCTCTCTCCTCTTCTCTCCTTCTTCCCTCTGATACATATGCCACATAGACACACATATGCATATATATAGTTCAAAACTATCCCACAAAGAAAAACCCTAGTTCAGTTTACTGGTGAATTTTACCAAATACATAAGGAAAACCTTAATAATAATTCTAAATAAACATTTCCATGGAATTTAAATGAGGGAATACCTCCTAATTTATTTAATGAAGCCAAGATAAAGGTGGCATTAAGCCAGACAGACACAGAACAAGAGAAGAAAATACAGGTCAATATCTGTTGTGAAAATTAATGTGAAATTTCTAAACAAAAATTTAGTAAATTTCAATCCAACAGAGGACCAAGGGATGTCAAAGCGATAAGACACTAGGATGAAACAGACACTATCCCAGGAATGCATAACGATTTATTGTCCAAAAATAATGTAATTTACTATATTAACAAAGTGGAAAGGAGAATACATACACACAAAAACAGACATTTAATTCTGATAACTCTCAGCAACTTTCCTCAGCCTGATAAAAGGCATCTGTGAAAAATCTAGGGGTAATAACATCACCCTTAATGATGAAAGTCTGAAAGACTTTACCTGAAGATCAGGAACAAGACAAGGAGATAGAAAATTGTAAATATAATTGATATTAGTTTAGCAGAAACCTGGCAAGGATTCAGCATTATAAACAATTTTGTTGAAAGAAGATTATATTTTTTCAAATACAACAACTGACAACTTTAAATTTAATGGGACAACTAGCTGTTGTAATGGTTTGGCCTGTCTAGTCCCCCCTGATAACCTTAGGGACAACTTCAAACTGTGGCTCAGACAGCATTTAGTGAAGTATGTCGAACCAAAGTTTTCTCACAGCAATTTGTTTAAAAAAATCAATAAATTATTAGGTAAGTTTAGTGTTTATGTTAAAAATTTATTCACTAGTAATAACTTTAGCAAGAATACAAAAAGGACTATTTTGAATTATTGATTTACTTTGATATATAAGCACTTATATAAATGATAACTAAAAAAGTTGTTAAATATTTTGATTATTACCCCTTTTGCGAACCACTGAAATAATTGAATCATAAGTCAAAACTCTTCCTATGATAAAAAATCCTTTGTCAGATGGCAACTCCCATTAATTCCTGGAAAGCTTGAAACAGTGAATAATTTCAATGTTATACAATCTCTTCAGGATTTTTAAAATTGAAGAAAAATCTGCCATCTTTTAATGATAAGACAAGTTTAAGTACAAAATGTGGCATTATTAGTATGAGGAAACCAAATAATGATCCATCTTGATGATGAATATATATATATATACAACAATTCTAAATAAAATCCAATAAAACCCATGCAAAGGGATCTCAAGATAATTCAGATATAATGTAATTGGAAAACATTTTCCATTTTCTGTTCATCTGTTTTTTGAAACAAGTGGTGAGATCTCAGAGGACTTATTTTTGGTGAGGGAAATAACAAAAGGAGGGGAGAGAAAATAAGACTCACAGTATCAGAGACAACTTTATCTTGGAAGACAGGGAAGTGTTTGGGGCTTTGCACATTGCTGGTTATTACTAGCCCAGCTCCTCTCCTCAGGACTATCTGATGGGGCTGGAAACCAGGTAACAAGGCAATAATTAGAATTCTTAACCATCATTCTGGGAGTTCCACTCTACCACAGTACCTAGAATCTTTGCCTTGGTATTTAGTCAGACAACAGCCACCAGATGGCAGCAAACTGCAGCTGGGTCAAGCCTTTGCTTCTGGAGCCAGAATCCTCCCGAAATCCTTAACAGTCCTGCACATCCTTGCCTGCATCACGTCATTCTATTCCTTTTTTAACCTGTTTCCTCATATTTTATAAACTCTTTTTCTTTATCAATTAACTGTTAAAAGAAAACAATTTTTTAGTCAAAGTGAGACTCTAAGCCTTTGGAAAGACTCACTGAAAATTTGGCATAGTCTTTGTTAAGGAGACATTCACTTGCTATGGCAGGAAACAAAATGAACAGACATGACTTATTTAAACACAACAGAAAATGTGACACAGCATAGAGAAATATATGACTCTCACAAGTGTTATCTGACTTTTAAGAATTAAATTAATAAACTTTTCTACATATGGACATATAAAGAATATAATTTAAATATCTATAAAGTTATAGTGACTTCTATTTCTTATCTGTTTAGTGATACAAAAATATTTTCTGGAAAAATTCCGTTACATTCCATATCATTTGTTTATATATAAGAATAACCGACAGATATGTATAATCTAACAAGGCTCAGAACAATACTATCTCTAAAAGTAAAAGATGAGTTTGAATAATTTGTTGAATCTTAAAGGTTGAAAGGGAAAATGTGATACACTTGCTAATTACAGACATAAATGATGCAACATAGGCTTATACTTCTGAAAGATGGAAATAGCAGAAGTATTATTTTCCTCTAAAACAACATAAAAAATGGAACATACACAGAAAATACAAAAAATGACTTTAGTGAGTAAAGTAAAGTGAAGCAAAAATGAAGACTAGAGTGAAGTGAATAAATAGATTTTGAAAATGAATGTAAGTGAAATATACTACCTTCATTTAAGAGAATTACATTTGTGATAATGGAAAGAGAACTTGATTTATAAAAATCACAGCTATGAGATTTTATAGAAAAACTGAAATTCAAAGCATAATATATATTGTGGATGATATACCACAATGTAGGTAAATACAATAAATTTGAGTTTTATAAATTATATTTGGTAGTTGAAAAATTACAATGCAGTCTTCTGTAGTTCTAGATGTATAATATATAGATTAAATATTTAAAAAATTGATTTTAAATGAGAGAGGGTAAACAAATATAAAGAGAGTAAATTCCTATATGTAGACACAAATGATACATGCAATTTAAGGTTATATTTCTCAAAGTGAATTGGTAATTATTTATTTAATAGCAAAATACCAAAAAAAAAAAAAAAAGGAACACAGAACAAAGAATTTAAAATGGTAAAAGTAAAGAACAATAACAGATCTTTACAATTACTGCAAATGAGATTATCTCCCCTATTGCAAAATATAGTGTCTACTGTATATGTGGAGAAGTCTAAATGTTTCAAAGTCACGGCTATAAAATGCTATAGGAAAAAGTTTAAAATCAAAGTTTTTATCAGACACACCAGATAAAAATTTTAAATAAACACATAGCTCATCGCAGTGGTGTAAGCACTTTCTTTGTCTCTCTCCTTCAATCTACAATCGGTGAAGTGAAAGTGAAAGTCTCTCAGTCGTATCCAACTCTTTGCTACCCCATGGATTATAAAGTGCATGGAATTCCCCAGGCCAGAATACTGGAGTGGGTAGCCTTTCCCTTCTCCTGGGGATCTTCCCAACCCAGGGATTGAACCCAGGTCTCCCACACTGCAGGTGGATTCTAAAACATTCATAATTCAAATGTGCCTCTGTCCAACACACCAGTACACACCAGAGAATTCCACATATAGGCACATCTAAAGATGGGTGGACTGGAAATACAGAGGAGGCAGAGCCAGGGCTAAGCAGGGTTGGTGCCCCCAGCTAGGCTCGCAGTCCCAGAGAATCCAGGAAAGGCGGCACACAGGACTCAGGCCTTCAGGATGCAAGAGCAACCGCAGCCACAAGAAAACAGGCAGTGGCAGAGCTGCAACCCCATTTCTTTAGCCATAGAGGCATCCGTGACTCTGGCCCCTTGCCCACCCACAGCAGCTCCTGTGAACTCAACAACTCCAGACGTCGCTGAGGAACCTGTGACCATGGCTCCCCCGACACTTCTGTCCTCTCCCTGGGGTGCTGGAGCCGCCATCCTAGGAGACCACAGAGGTAGCCGAGGGGACAGCCAGACCAGAGCCCCGGACGCAACATCCACCACCGCAGCGGCAACACCAGCCGCAGTGGCGAGGCGCTACTGACCCCAGGGGCACACGCGGTAACAATGAAGGCAGAAGCAGTGGAAGGCGGAAAGTGCCAATCCTAATAATATAGCCAGAGGCAACTCAGGTAAGAGAAACGGAAACTGGTGCTACAGGACCATCTACCGAAAACAACAAGAGGAACACTTCTAATGACTAATCTGTTGAATCATTATAATCAGGTTACCAAAAAAAAAAAAAAAAAGGCAGATTTACCTAAGGAAGAAAGATGTTCATTACTTCAAGTGCACTAGCAGAGAATAACTCATCAAGCACCATGAAAAACCACAATAACACAGAAGCACAAAATTAAAATGACAATTCTCCAGAAACCCAACTCGAAGACACTTCATTTGTTACATAAACACATTTCTGGTTTCAACAGAGACATGTTTTTTAAAAGACATAAATGTAACTACAAGCATCTAAAAGAAAAGAGAAAAAACAAATGCTTATTTCGGAGAATAAACAAACATGAGACAGTCTCATGAACGGATACGATTCCTTACATATTCCTTAGAATAGAGTAAACCCTTTACCAACCATGAAATCAAGCAATTCATGAATAATCAACAGTATGAAAAGCAAATATTTGTTTAACAGGAAGTAATTCTGCAACATAGATCCTGTTTCCTCACTGTTTAGATCATGATTTAAGCTTGCTAAGACGAACAAGTATTAGGGGGGCAGGGAATGCAGCGTCTCTCTCTAGTTCTTTGTACTTTTTAATTGATTAAACCAACAAACATAGCAGCGAAGGGTCCTGAGAGAAACTCTTTCCTGGGGAGAAAAATCAGAGTAGTAGTCATTCCCTCTGCAAGGGACCTAAACGTCTCTCTGACCAGTGTATTGCATCAGAAAGCAAAAAATGAAAAGGAGAACAGTAATTCCTCACCAGACCTTCGGAAAACCAGCAAGGCTCGGGATCGGGCACCTGGCTCAGCTCCTCCGATGCCTCCTGGACGGAGGAGCAGGCGGGCGCAGTGATGCAACGTTAAGAGGCCCAGAAGGCAGGCCTCGTGCTGGATGGAGCAGGGCGGCCTGATGCTGATGCTCAACGTGACCCGACGGCTGTAGCAGCTCCCGCCGAATATCTCGGCCTCCAGGACGCGAACCTGTGGCTGCAGGACGACAAGCTGCAGCTGCGAGGGCTCTGCGGCTTCCTGGACGCCGCAGACTGGCACAAGGCAGGTAGCGCGCGACCTGTGGCGGCGTGGTGGGAGCCGCCTTGCCTGCGCCTGCGGCACGAGGCAGCCCCGAGAGCATCTGAAGCTGCGGGAACTCGAGGCGCGCCGGGAGGCCCTGCTGGGCGGGAACCTGGAGCTCATGGAGCCCTGCTGCTGCCGCTGCTGGACCAGGAGGAGCGGGGACGCGGGCGGCGGCACCGGCTGCCGCAGATCGAAGGACTGCCGGGCCGGCTTGAGCAAGCGGTATGCGGGCGGCGTGGGCTAAGGCAGCAGGTCGACCGCCGCAGCGGCGAAGACCCAGGCCGCTACCTGCACTTCCCGGCCCTGCTGCTGACCCCTCAGGCCGCACAAGCACCCCCGGAAGACAAGGCTGTCACCCCGCACACATCCCTGGACGACCGTTGGAGCCATCTCACCACCGAATCGCGCCCTACGGCCTGTGCGGTGAGGACGGCACCAGCCGGGCAGCACGGGTCTCTGGACCACAACCCCTGTCCCCCACGGGTGGCCCCCACTCCAGACCCCTCCTCCGGCTCCGGACGGGAAGATCCCAAGTCCATCGGAACTGGGGCTTTGAGTGGTGATTTTCTGGCTAAGTGATGGAGGCGTGGAATTCGCAATGGACCCGGGATTTGCGTACCAGAGGCTGGAACTCTAGGGCTGGCTGGAGGCGCCACATCCCAGCCTGGAAACCCTTGTCTGGAAGCCGGCAGTTTTTCATGGGGGAAAAAAATGCAAGGCCATTTGCGCAAATGTGGAATTTCCTGTCTTATTTTTGCGACCTGCCCCAAACATGAGCAGCGTCCACATGTGTGCTGAAATCCCACCCGAGCTTCTCGGTGCTGCCTGCCTGCTGGGCAGGAAGCTGGGCCAGAGGACCAGGGCTAAGAGCCTTCCTGGTCGGCCTTTAGTCCTGCCCTTCTCAGAGTCCAGGGACGTTTCTCAACTGAGGCTCTAAAACTTTGCAGAATATGTGCTTGGAATGGGTTCTGGCTTTTGGTCTCCGCGTGCCTCAGTTTCCTTCTCTGCAGAATGCATTCGATGATCCCTACCCCTGGATTTGAAGTGGATAAAAGTCTCTGAAGGGGTTTGTAAACTGTTGGTCACATGGCTCAGATGGTAAGGAATCTGTGTGCAATGCAGGAGACCCAGGTTCGATCCCTGGGTCAGGAATGACAAGTTGGAGGAGGAAATGGCAACCTACTCCAGTATTCTTGCCTGGAGAATCCCATGGACAGAGGAGCCTGGCGGGCTACAATCCATGGGGTCACACAGACTCGGACACTGGAAAGTGAGTGATTAACACTTTCACTTTGCCAGAAGCTCCATGGCTGCCGGCTGCCAAGGTGAGGGTTGGAGGTCTTTTATGCCTCAGGAAAGCTGGGTCTTCTCCATCCCCCCGGTGACTGTTAGGCAGATCTGAGGGGGACCCCATTCCCCAACCCTCTGGATCAGTGCCTCCTCCTTGCTACCTCGCTCCTCTCCTGCTTCCATGTCCTTCCAAAGTTTTGGTGGCTTAGCTCCTCCTTCTGGTGGCAGTTACTGCTCCCTCAGCTATTTGCCTGAAGGTAGAGATTAAACAGACCTTTCTGGTTCTCTTTGAAGCCTTTCCTAGTTCAGAGAAAATATATCTAGGCCTTCAATAACTGTTGTCCCCCAGAGTGACAGCCTGCGAATGGGATGGGAACTGGACCCTCTTTCTTGGGTTGGATGGCCAAGTGGTCTCTGCAGGTGCCTTGTGTTGCGGACTGGGGCACTAGGCCGGAGAAGGTTGGGTGCTAACCCAGCACAGTTTTTGCTTTACCTTCTCAGTCTATCAGTTCAGGGAAGGACTAGGGTTAGAGGGATGTTTTATTACTGATTAGCAATCGAAGGCTACAATTTGGGTTTCTCTCTTTATAACTCTGTACACCCTTCATTCCACTGCTGGCTCCTTAAGGCCAGAGGGAGTAGCTCAAAATGAAGTTTTTTGATGCATTAGGGCTAGGCAGTCTAGGAGTGAGAAGTCCCAGTCCTAGCCTCAGTGAAATCACTAGCTGGGGGTCCTTGGGAGGGTCAGATTTCTGGGCCTCAGTTTCCCCAAGCACAGTATGATACAGGGGATCACTACAGTACTGTGGCTGGGAAAAGAAATATTTCTGGCTTTTAGCTGCATTGACAGGTGACTGGTGATTCAGGACCTGATTCTCTGCAGGGCAGTGAAGTGCTGAAGTGTGAGAGCATATTTGCAGAGAAGTTCTGTCATGTTTTGGACAAGGAGACGCAGATCCTCTCTAGCTCAGGGTTTTGCCACTGCAGTGCATGGTGTAGAAATTGAGGACTGGTCTTCACCTAAGGTTTCCCACCTCACTGGACAGTGAGTAGAATGGAGCTGTTGGGTTTACTGCAGGATCCAAGTCCCATGCACACTCAGAGTAGGACTGCCACAGATGTCTTGGTGGCAGAGCTTTGGGTTAAGCACTATGATCACAAGTTTCAGCTACAGGTGGGACTGCTGCTGTTCAGTTTTGTCTGAAAGTTCTGTGTGGCCTTGAGACATTCTCCCAATGACTGTGAGTAGGAGACCTGGAAAAAAGGAAGGGCCCTCCTCTTAGAGACCACTTTTCTGCACTTGGACTTGTAGTTTTAAGGTGAGTGGAAAGCAAGCTGGAGGTGAGAAAGCTGACAAGCCTGGATCTGGATGCTGGCAAAGGTAGAGTCAAATATTAGGCTTGTGCCATATATGCTTGCTGTTAGCTCCTCCTCACAAAAGCTCTGGAAAGCAGTATTATTTCCATTTTACAGCCAAACATCCAGAGGCTCAGAGAGGTTCTGAGCATCTCCTGGGAGAAAAAATTGAGATTGAAATGTCTTAGTTCCAATTGCCTGGATGGGTCTCCCAGGGATTCTCTACCACTCAGGCTATGGGTGGTCTCCCTTTTCTGACTTATTGTCATTTTGGCCAATAATATTAATCAGCAGACACTAGGTGACTCCGCATTCTTGATTCCTGACCCAGGTTTGCCCTTCTTCCACCCTGAAAGTGTCACTTCCTTATCTGTGACCACTGTGCAGATGATTGATAATTGCACTACCCAGAAAGGTCAGGCTGTCTTGTGTTCAGATTTCCATTCTTCCTCTCCTCTTGGGCAAGTTACTTCACTTCTCTAAGCCTCTCTCTGTTCTTCTTCTGTAAAGTGGAGCAGCACCTACAGTGTCCCCTTTATCCATGCAGGATCAGGGGAGGTCTGGATCTGCACACAGTCAGCCTCAACAGTTGTCAGTATCTTAGTCATTCATATTCCTTACCAGGCTCCTCATGAAAAAAGATAGGGACCCATGGGGGTTTGCCAAATGGATATCACTGTTCTCTTTGAAACTCGGTTTGCTGTTTAGACAGACAGCTTGCTTCATTTTCCAACCAAGCCAGTGTCTGGCTGCACCTGCCCCTGGGATAGGAAATAATGACCCTGTAGTCCTTCCTTGAGGTGCCTTAAAGACCCTAAGTGTCTATTATGGCAGGTGGCCCCTCGGTATTCCAGGCAGTCCCTCACAGGGACTGGGCCTGGCTGCAAATGGGCCTTTCCCCTGGTTGTTTTATTTGACAGATATATTGGTTGGGCTGACTAGTCTGGACTTTTTGCTCTAGTCCAGGAGGCAGACTGGGGCAGGCAAACCCCAAACACGAGAAAGTCAGGTGCATCACTTTGAACTGATTTTCCAAACAAAAGTATTTTCAACAATTACTCCCCTTCCATTCCCCCAGGTTGAATATGGTTCCCTGTGCATTACAATAGGACCCTGTTTTTTATTTATTTTATATACAGTAGTTTA